GAAGGAAGGAAGGAAGGAAGGAAGGAAGGAAGGAAGGAAGGAAGGAATTGCGCTGATAACCTGAAGAGTGTCCAGAGGAAGTCAACCAGGATGGTGAAGGGCTAAAAGTCCATGTCATATGGGGATTAGCTGAGTACATAGGCATTTTTACCCTGGAGAAAAGAACTCAGGAAGGACATGATAGCTGTCATGTATATGAGAGATTAGATCCTAGAGGGCAGAACTATGAGAATGCAAAGCTGCAAAGAGGCTTGATGTCAGGGTAAATTTATTAATAATTAGAGCAGAACAAAAGTATAACTGGCTGCCTTAAGAAGTGGCGAGTTCTCCTTCTTAGGTTTCCCTTTAAGTGGAAGCTGGACATCCACTGATTGGGTATATTATAGTGCATATTTCTTTGTTTATGGGCTGGACTAAATGACCTCTGAAGTCCATCCCAAGTCTCAAATTCTGTTATTCTGTATGTCTGTGTTTAGAAGAACTATGTGGGAGGATGGAGGTGGAAGGAGTTGGGAATTCTACCAGCATTCATTTACTAAGGATGGCAAGGTCCCAAGCTATCCCTAGAGGAATGCAGTTGACCACATCTATGTGTCTCTAACTGCAGCCAGCTGTCTTGTAAATATATACCACTAGTCAAAAAGTAAGCAAGTATAAAGGATCATGTGATTATAAATTTGGAGGTGAAAGAGTCCTTAGTGGCCATGACATCCAACCTTTTTATTTTATAAATGAAGAGACTGAGGATCAGAGAGATTAAGTGACTTGACCGAGATCACACCGATAGTAAGTGTAAAATGAGGAATTCGAACCCAGGTCAAGTCCAGCATTCTATCCACTCTGTCACACTGGTTTCTCTCATTGCATATACATCCCTATCCCTGAAAAGACCACTTTAAGCATTCTCCTTAGTGGCAGTGGGTCAATAGCTATAAGCTTTGTATATAACAAATGATTATGTTCTTCTGTGGGGAAGGGATGAGAGCAGTGTGATATGGTGGAAAGAACACTGGATTGGGGAGTCCACTGACCTGGTTTCAGGTTTCCGCTCTGCCATTAACTAGATGGGTAATCTCTGGGCCTCAGGTGCTTTTACTAGATTACTCTAAAGTTCCTTCCAGCTCTAATAGTAAGATTCCCTATAGGGTAGAACAAATAGGAACCAACCAGCACTTAATATCTGACCTTGCTCCCTAAAAGTTCTACCCTTGACCTTTCTAGAGTTAGGCCAGTGGCTACATATGCATCCAAGTTAGTAAGGGGTAGGTTGGTTTTATGAATAGAGCCCTGAGTTTAGAGTCAAAAGATCCCAAGTTCAAATCCTGCTTTTGCCTTTTACTAGCTATGAGACTCTAGAAAAGTAGCTTGAATTTTCTGAGTTTCAGTAAAGTGAGGGTAATAATATGTGACCTTCTTGCAGGACTATTGTGAAAATCAAAACAGATTAAAATGAGAAAAACATTATGTAAATGATAGCGATTATTAATGAGCCAGTTTCTTTCCATAAAGTACCACAAGACACCTCCTGCCTCTACTAGCAGATTGGGTCTCCCAAACAAGGTTATCTCAGGTCAACAATACTCTATAAATATGCATTCATTCAAAACTGTAGGCCATGAGCGCCCACCAACATGTTTGCCTTCATTAGTTAATAGAAAGACACAATTAGTTCAAAACAAAGACATTTGATAAAATGGCAGAACTTAAAATATATGTGTGTATGTACATGTATCTCCTGCCCTTAAACCTGATAAACACACATACCATCAATGTGAAGTGTAGATACATGTAGAGCAAACAAATAGAGGTGCACATTGTGTGGTCACAGGACCACATATGGAGTAGCAACTTATGGTTCCAACATTGCAAGGCAGTCATATCTTCTGGAGTGTTATCACACTGCTCCCTCCAGGTCTGCTGTGTGTTGGTCTCTGCCAGGCAAATACTTTACACATATTCTGCATCAGACACTACTTTGCTGGATGCACTATCTCTACTGAACAGTAGAGATATCTCTGCCAGATTCGTTGTCTCTGCCAAGAGCTGTTCTGCTATACAGACCGTCTCCAGCAGTTGTATAGTCTCTACTTGCTGTAGGCAGGTACATGATTCTAGAGCTTCTCCCTGCGTATAGCTTCTGGTTACAGCTAGAGTCCTTGTGCTCTCTCTTTCTCCTGAAAAGAGAGGGCTCTGCTATGCCCTTTTAGATTCATGCTCTAATACTTTCAATATTTTAATAGCTCTTTCAGAAAGGTAGCAGCACTTAGCCATTGGCAAACATTGGCAAAAGTCTTTCTTAATGTAGAAGAAAAGCTCCCTTATTTTCCCTCCTAAAGGAGTGGACTGCTTTATTTCTTTTGAGGCTTGGCTAGAAGGCTTTGTCCCAATCACAAAGCTCTAGATGTAGAGCTGGGTCCTGCTGACTAGTTAGTGCACTTGGGCTTAATCTTTTCCTTGCATTAAACTTCCTGGTCCTGGGCATGAGTATTTATGATGGAGACCTATCTTAGCGTACACCTTCCCTATGTCTCCCATTTTTAACCTCTGAAGGCTAGACTACATCTAGTCATCCATGTAGGGGTTACTCTCCCATCAAAGTTGCCTAAGGTTCTAGGGTCTGCTCTTCTCCACCTTTTCAGTTTAAAAACCCATGCTTGTTTTCCATGCAGAGGGACAGAGGGTGGGGAGGAGAGAAGCACAGAGACAAAGCC